GAAGGGAGCTAGGAGTAGTAGTATCTCTGGAGGCATTTACAGGTGGACGACTACCCACCTAGTCCCCAAGGGAGCATCCCCAGGAGGGATGAAAGAAACGAAGGAAAAAGCCACAGGAGGAGGAAATGAGGGGCAGTTCAAGAGACTCACTGAAAAGGAAATGCAAGAGAAAAGAACAAAAGGGCTGTGCTTCTGATGCGATGAAAAATACATGCCAGGGCACAAGTTCAAGGATCAAACTCTTCAAGTTCTCCTCGTTTGTGAAGACGAGGAAGACGAAGAGGGAGGGGGAAGCGATTTTGAGGTGGAGGAAAAGATGCATCTGGATATGGCAGAAGTCTCACTCAACTCTGTAGTGGTATTCACTCCGAGTCACACTATGAAGGTAAAAGGAGAGATAGTTGACCGTGGAGTCGTGGTGTTGATTGATAGTGGGGTAACCCACAATTTCATTTTCACCCAGATTGTGGAGCTGCTGGGGATGAAGTTAGTGGATACTGGAGGCTATGGGGTGATGATGGGCACGGGGAAGGTAGGAATGGGAAGAGGAGTCTGTAGGGGGGTGGTGCTGAAGATCCAAGGAATACAAGTAAAGGAAGACTTCCTTCTCCTAGAATTGGGGAGTACGAATGTCATCCTAGGGATGAAGTGGTTGCAGACATTGGGAGAAACCAAAATCAATTGGGGCACTCTGCAGATGGAGTTGGTGAAGGCTGGAAGGAAGAGGGTGATTCAAGGGGATGCAGGGCTGACCAAGGCAGGGGTTTCTTTTAAATCTCTAATCAAAACAATTCAAGAGGAGGGGGAAGGCTACTTGGTGGAATTACACAGATCAGAGGGAGTCAGTGTGGAGGAAGGGGAAGAAATACCCCTCTCTGTGCAGCCCTTGATCCAGGAATTTGAGGAGGCTTTTCAACCACCCCTAGGGTTTCCACCGCCCAGGGAGCAGGAGCATGCCATCACGTTAAGAGAGGGAGTGTCACCTGTTAGTGTATGACCATACCGTTACCCTCAGTTTCAGAAGGACGAAATAGAAAAGTTGATCAGAGAAATGTTGGAAGCAGGGATTATCAGGCCCAACGCTAGCCCGTTCTCTAGTCCTGTTCTATTGGTGAAGAAAAAGGATGGCAGTTGGCATTTCTATGTAGACTACCGCGCACTCAACAAGGAAACTGTACCTGATAAGTTTCACATACCAGTGATTGATGAGCTTCTGGATGAGTTGAGTGGAACAGTGATTTTTAACAAGATCGACTTGAAATCAGGATATCACCAGATACGAATGAAGAAGGAAGATGTGCCCAAGACTGCTTGTAGAACTCATGAGGGCCACTATGAGTTCCTAGTGATGCTCTTTGGCCTCACCAATGCCCCAACTACGTTCCAGGTACTCATGAATAAGATCTTCAAACAGTATCTCAGGCGATTCGTGTTGGTATTCTTCGATGACATCTTAGTATATAGCAGAACAGAGGAGGAGCATTGGGGACACTTAAAGGTGTTAGAGGTTCTCCAGGAGCACCAGTTGAGGGATAACTTGAAGAAGTGCTGCTTCACACAAGCTAGTGTGGAATACTTGGGGCATATGGTATCCAAGGAAGGGATGGCAGCAGATCATTCCAAGATTGAGGCCATGCTTAAGTGGCCACTGCCCAAAAATCTAAAAGAGCTGAGGCAATTCCTAGGGCTTACAGGGTACTACAAAAGATTTGTGAAGGGATACATCACTATAGCTTGGCCACTCACTAAGCAGTTGAAGAAAGATGGATTCTTATGAGGGGAGGCAGCTACGACAGCATTCGAGCAATTGAAGAAAGCTATGACCACTGTTCCGGTCTTAGCTTTATCGGATTTTACTCAGGCCTTTATAGTAAAGAGATGCATCGGGATACGGGCTAGGAGCAGTGCTGATGTAGAGTCACAAGCCCATTGCATATTTCAGTCAAGTGTTGACTGCCAGAGCCCGGCTAAAATTTGTCTATGAGAGGGAGTTGATGGCAATTGTGTTGACCATTCAAAAGTGGCGTACCTACTTTCTTGGAAGACATTTCATCGTCCGGACCGACGAAAGGAGCCTGAAATATTTGCTGGAGCAGCACATGGTGATAGAGGAGCATCAGAGGTGGCTATCTAAATTGCTCGGATATGATTTTGAGATCTAGTACAGGCCAGGGGTAGAAAATAAGGCAGCAGATGCCTTGTCCAGGTGCATGGGGGAGCTGCAGACAGTGGCTGTATTGGTCCCAATGATGCTAGATTGGGAAGCCATAAAGGAGGAGAGTGCCAAGGACGAGGAACTAAGTAAGATCAGAGCTGGCTTACTGAAGGAAGAGGGCAGCCATTCAGGATACAAGTTGGAGGGGGAGAGATTGTTGTACCAGGGGAGGTTTGTGTTACCCAGAACGTCAGTACACATCCCACAATTTCTCCAGGAGTTCCATGGAACTGCAGTGGGAGGTCATTCAGGAGTGCTAAAGACCTACATGAGACTAGCGGCGGAGCTGTACTGGAAATGTATGCATAGAGATGTGGAAGAGACGATATCCAGGTGCGAGGTGTGTCAAAGAAATAAGTATCTAGCTATGTCACCAGGGGGTTACTGCAGTCATTGGAATTACCAGGACGAGTATGGGAGGAGATATCTATGGACTTCATTGATGGGCTAACCCGCTCTGAGGGATTCACTGTGATTTTGGTGGTAGTGGATAGATTGAGCAAATATGCTAACTTTATTCCTCTACGCCATCCATACACTGTGGTGACAGTAGCGTCAGTCTTCATCAGGGAGATAGTCAGACTACACGGAGTGCCAGAGGCGATAGTATTAGACAGAGATAAAGTGTTCCTCAGCCATTTCTGGAAAGAATTATTCAGACTGCAGGGGACGGTGCTAAAAAGGAGTACAGCTTACCACCCACAGACAGATGGCCAAACAGAGGTAGTCAATCGGAGCTTGGAAACTTATCTGAGATGCTTCGCATCAGAAACACCCAAGCTATGGGCTAAATGGCTATCATGGGCTGAGTACTGGTACAACACATCTTTTCATTCAGCCTCTCAGATGGCCCCATTTAAGGTGTTGTACGGAAGGGATCCGCCCCACTTGCTGCATTTTGGGTGTAGCAGCACACCCGTGTCTTCAGTAGAGGAGTATTTGGAGGAGAGGGATAAGACACTGGAAGAGTTAAAAGACATTTATTGAGGGCTCAACAGATTATGAAGAAACAAGCTGATGGGCATCAGAAGGATATTCAATTTGAGGTGGGCGAGAAGGTATTTTTGAAACTCCGCCCATATCGACAAAAAATGATCACCAACCAGAGGAATGAGAAGCTTGCTCCAAGATACTTCGGTCCTTATGAAGTACTGGAGAAAATTGGAGCCGTGACATATCGTTTGAAGCTACCACCGACAGCGACGATCCACCCGATTTTCCATGTAGCCCAGCTAAGGAGAGCCATTGGAGATTATGCTACCAGTTCTGAGTTACCAGGGACACTAACAGATGAAATGGAAATGATATTGGAACCTTTGGAGCTCATAGAGGCTCGTCAGAAAGCAGATGGAGCCACAGAAGTCCTGATCAAATGGAAGAACCTCCCTGACTATGAGGCCACGTAGGAGCCATACGAGAGGATGAAGCGACAATTTCCTGACTTCCGCCTTGAGGACAAGGTGGTTCTTTGGGAGGGCGGTAATGTTAGACCGGTCCTCTATGGATCGGTCCAGCTGGCCCAATCCATTGGGCCGGCTCAATTCTTTTACTAGAGGAGAAAGCAGGGGAAGCAGGCGGAACAGCAGGAAGGAAATAGGGTGGGGTCCACTTGTTTTTCAAATTGATTCTTGGAGCCAAAAGTAGTGGAAGCAAGGGAAATTAGGTCATTTTTGAATTGTATGCATTAAGTAGGGGAGAAAAGGATAGATTAGGGTTATATGAAATTTGCTTTGGAGTTTTCTTGTTCTTCTTTGGTGGCTAGTGCTCTAGATCGAATTGTAGTGATTGGGAGAGTGAGATCCTCCTCTCGAATAAAGGATCATTGTATTTTTGCTATTTTCCTTGCATCTTCTAGTAAAATACAAGTCTTTTCTCAAGTTTTCTCACAGATTTTCCCGGATTTCTCTGTGTTTTTGCTGTTTTTCTGCTGTGAACAGCAGTTTGCTTGGAGATTTGCTGTAAAAGTGAATAGGAAATACTTGAAATCAAGTATTTCCTATCATAATGCATTGGGCTTGTTGTGTGATTGAAAAGTATCCCTCAAACTTAAGAGAAAATTCTATAAGATGGTAGTGAGGCCTGCAATGCTTTATGGTGCTGAATGTTGGCCATTAAAAGAGAAGCATAATACTAACTTAAGGGTGGCAGAGATGAGGATGCTCAGGTGGATGAGTGGCTTTACCCTTAGAGATAGGATACGAAATGAGCATATACGTGAAAAGGTTGGAGTAGCTCCAGTAGAAGATAAGATTAGAGAGAGTCACCTTAGATGGTTTGGTCACATAAAATGGAGGCCTTCCAATGACGCGGTTAGGAGAGTAGAGGTATTAGATTTGACTTCTGTTAAGAAAGGTAGAGGCAGACCTAAAAAGACTTGGTTAGAAAATATTAGGAATGACCTTTCTTTATTAGATTTAAATGAGAATTTGACCTTTAATAGGATACAATGGAGAAAAATGATTCATGTAGCCGCCCCACATAGTGGGATAAAGGCTTGATGTTGTTGTTGATGTTGTATAGTATTTTACTACATTCCGTTAATTTATGCCTTAAAAATGATAATTTTTTAGAAGAGCCATGATTATATGATTATCTATGGAAAATGATAATTTAAATTTGTAATGTCCTTGATGACTGATTGAAGTGATGCATGCTTTTCGAAAAATGTAGTGTGGCCTGCAGAACTCTCCGATCAGTAAATTCCTTTACCTTAACATATTTTTTTTGCATTTTTGTTTCTGTATCTGCTCTAATCTAATGCTATTTTGGCAATTGTCTTTTGAAGGTATTAAAAACTCCTGTGTCATTGGACATGCTTGGACGTATTTTTAACGGTTCAGGAAAGCCTATAGATAATGGTCCTCCAATACTACCAGAGGCTTACTTGGATATTTCGGGTCAGTCCTAATCGAACTTGATGAATCATTTGTATTTTGTATTATGATCGTCTTTCAATAAAGTATGTGCTTTTTGTTTGTATATTTTAGGAAGTTCTATTAATCCCAGTGAGAGAACCTACCCTGAAGAGATGATTCAGACGGGAATATCCACCATTGATGTAATGAATTCTATTGCCCGAGGGCAGAAAATTCCTCTTTTTTCTGCTGCTGGGCTTCCCCATAATGAAATTGCAGCTCAGATTTGTCGTCAGGCTGGCCTTGTTAAGCGGCTGGAACAAACAGAAAATCTACTAGAGGTATTATAATTTTCGAGTTTGGTATATTACAAATACGATATAAGAGAACAATTGAGACTTAGATTGTTTCAAGGTTATTTTATGCTCATTTTGGGTTTTATTTATCAGTGGCCTAGATTAATGAATGGAACATAAAAGGTGAAGACTCCATGTGTGTGCGTGTTTGTAAAACTGTGTAAAGCTATTTTCGTTTTGTAATTATATTCATAAAATATTAAACTACGAATATGGAATATGCTGATGTATTGAATTGGCTGAAATTTTATGTGCGAAATACTAGTTGATATTTTTGTGTTTAGGAGTAAATTCTCAAATGTTTCATATTGCATTTGTTCTGGATTCTATCTCAAAGGAAGTATGTTTTTTTTTGTTGGTATTGGCTTGATCCCTCACTATGAACTGGCCAGGATGGAGAGGAGGACAATTTTGCAATTGTGTTTGCAGCCATGGGTGTAAACATGGAAACAGCTCAGTTTTTCAAGCGTGATTTTGAAGAAAATGGTTCAATGGAGAGGGTCACTCTTTTCCTTAATCTGGTATGTGAGTTATTTTGTATTTTAGTTCAAGTGACAAGATTTTTTTCTTCGGTGCTCTGCTAACTAATTGTTTGATTGTGTTCATAACTTTCATTAAGCTAACATTATCTTTCTAACAGGCAAATGATCCTACAATTGAACGTATTATTACTCCTCGAATTGCTCTTACCACGGCAGAATATCTGGCCTATGAATGTGGGAAGCACGTCCTTGTTATCTTGACTGACATGAGCTCGTATGCAGATGCACTTCGTGAGGTAAAATAGTTGCTATTAACCTCATGGAAGTTATTTAAATTGCAAAATCTTGTAATGATTGGAAATTGAATATTTTTTGCTTATTTTTATTTGTGTATGGACTTGAAATTTTCCTTTTACCTCCATTTTAATTGAAATATCCTGACTAGAGTCAAGGCTTGTAAATGTTGATGGCGGTTTCCTTAAGTGCTGCAGTCTGTTTTGCATTATATAATTCTTTCCCACTTTTTGCTGGTTTAATTATTCTGTCGCCTTTATCCATTGTGTTCATCTTTTACAACATAACCTGAAAAGAATACCGCTTTAAAATAGAAATGCTGGTCAAGAGCCCCCTTAAGTAGTTTGACCACTCATGATCCTTATTATTAGGGTTTATTTGAGGTTGCTACAACATCCTATAAAAAAAGTTGGAGAATTATTGGTGAAAAACAGATTTTTGAGATCTGTTGTTGGTATTAGATTTTTTTTTTCTTTTGAAAGCATTGGATAATTTTCTTACAATTACCTCACTCCTTTGGATTTAAATGTAAAAAGTTATTTCTCATCATAATTTTTTTTGAAAGAACAGCAAAAAATCTTTAGTCAAATAGAGAAGCATGCTAGTTGCGTGGAAAGCTAAATTGTGAAAAACTTGTCCCAAACAAGCTCTTAGTGAGGGTTCCTCTTTGCAGCTTATTTATTACTCTTCTTGAATTCTTGTGTTGTCGATCCTTTGCTTCTTTAGTTCAACTACGAAGGAATTTTACAGACTGCTTAACTATCTAATTAAATTGGTTTCAGGTGTCTGCAGCCCGAGAGGAGGTGCCTGGTAGGCGTGGTTATCCTGGGTATATGTATACTGATTTAGCAACAATTTATGAACGAGCTGGACGTATAGAAGGCAGAAAAGGCTCCATAACCCAGATTCCTATCCTAACAATGCCTAATGATGGTGATTAAATCTCATTCATTTTATCTTTTAAATAGTTTGAACGTCGTAATTCAATCTATACCCCATTGCTGCAATTCAGATTCATACTTTTTTCTTATTGCTCGGCACATTTTGCACCTGTTATGCAGATATCACCCATCCCACACCAGATCTTACTGGGTATATCACTGAGGGCCAGATATATATTGATAGGCAACTTCATAATCGGCAGGTTCTACTTGTACCCGTTCTTTGTCCTTAATTTTAAACAGATTTGGACATGTAGCTTCTATTTTTCATTTCTATTTTCAAACCAATTATATCGTTGACCTACCTTCTATGTGTATTTGGTAAAGGTCCTTTATATCAATTCATGTCCTATTAATCTTTTTATGATTAACTTCTAATCGCTGTTTTTTATTATTGTCAACAGATATATCCACCCATCAATGTCCTTCCATCTCTCTCACGGTTGATGAAGGTGAGCTTGTTCGCATTGAGTTTATTTGTTTGAATGCAAAGAAATATTTTACTCTCGTCTTGTAGAGTGATGGGAATATTTTAGAAACGATTAATTCTAAGAAGTTCGAAACTTTCATTTCGGATTCAGTCCAATTCTTAAAAAATCCCCCTATCATGCTTTTCTCACATTTTGACTGTGATATTTGTGTTGTATCATTATTATGTAGAAATTAAACTGTATTTTTACTAGCCAGCTGGTTTTCCTTGTAGAGTGCTATTGGAGAGGGCATGACCCGTCGTGATCATGCTGACGTGTCCAATCAGGTAGTCACTTAAAGATAGACATTTTGTTACCCCTAAATTCTTGTGCTCTTATGTTATCAATTCTCGTGTTTCAGCTTTATGCCAATTATGCTATTGGGAAGGATGTTCAAGCAATGAAAGCTGTTGTTGGAGAAGAGGCGCTCTCTTCAGAGGACTTGGTCTCTCTCTCTTTCTCTCTTTCTCTCTCTCTTATGTACCGTTTAGTTTGACTTTGCTGTTTGTAGAAAAGTTGTGGCACAGGGCTTCTTTCCTGTTGTGCTCGAGCTTGAGCCTTTCTGCCCATGGAAAAAACTAAAGAGCGATTCTGTTACAATCCAGGATACGCATTACCTTATGGCACATGCTAACAATTTCTTCACTTTCTTTTCTTTTGTTATTAATATGTTAAAGTAGTTTTTTTCCCCGCATACATAGTTGTTTCACTAATCAATCTATTATAATAACCTGGCTGCAGCTATACCTTGAGTTCCTGGACAAATTTGAGAGGAAGTTTGTTTCTCAAGGGGCTTATGATACCCGCAACATCTTCCAGTCACTTGACCTGGCCTGGACTCTTCTGCGTATCTTTCCCAGAGAACTTCTGCACCGTATTCCTTCAAAAACATTGGATCAGTATTATAGCCGAGAAACTACCCACTGAGCTGCGGAGTATTATTTCATGTTAAGAATGACATTTACGTGTCAGCTTTGAATAATCCGTGGGTGTTGTTCTTCAAGCCCTAAATCGGCCATTTTGCATAGAGTTATCAGGTCCATTCTTTTCAGTGCTCGAGTTCATGACATTCTAGAAATATCTCTTGTAATATTTGTGACCAAAAAATGATTTGTAAGGGTATTGAACTCAATCTCAATTATAGCACTTAACTTTATTTATTATTTTCTGAATTATTTCTGTAAGATATTGAACCCCTAAATTTTGTGAGTTCATAATGTGCTTGAAAACTTTAGTTTCTCTCTTTTTTAGGCCTTTGTTTCTAATTTTTATAATCATGCTAATTAGTCATTTGTTTGTTTTTTTGATGGCAGCTTCAGTACTGGTAGCACACTCTAATCAATTTTACTCTTGTATATGATAACTTTGGGTTATTTTTTTGCGAATTGTGGGGACCATTCATCAGCGTGTTCCTGAATTTTGTATAGGTTACTCGGTGAATACCAAGGCTTTTAGCCATTGGCACTTGGTACTACCAATCTTGGTGGGATGCCCAATGTCCCAATTGAGGAAAGACTCCCATATTGAGGGCTTTGTCTGGGCTTGATGTGCCATTACTCCAGGTAAGCATTTATAGTGCCACTCTCGATGCTGCTTTTTTTCATGGGTTTGGCTTCTCTGTAGTTGTCAAAATCTTAGCTTTTATCAGAGGTGGCAGTTAGATTTTTATTTGTTTTGAAGATAACTGTTGTTTTGCTCGAGTTAATCGCATTCCACCCAAACTTGAGTGACTGCAGCTGATAAATGCTAGGGGAAATTGCTCCGATATCATCCAAATCTATATATCAAAAAACCATAAAAAAATGAATTAGTAAGGTCATATATTTGTATTTGCCACAACTAAACTGGAGATAATTTCATGAAAACAAATATATATATATATATATATATATATATGTGGATGATATTATTGTTTATAGAAGTGGCTGTGTGTTAATTATGTAAAAATACAAGATTTAAATTTTACACACAAAATTATCCCTAAATGTTAACTAGGAGAATTCAGGCCCTTACGCCTTTTTCCCTACCAGCCGGAAAAAAAAAGTATTATAATGAGGTTGAGGTGAAGCATACTAGCATAGTTATTGATTAAATGCCTTTATTATAAATTTTCTTCTATATTTTTCTCTCTTCAATGAACATCAATGCGTGTGACATGTCATTGGCCTGATTATTTAATCTTATTTGAAAATTGCATCATAATTTCAATATCAAATGCAAATTTCCTTGCAACTTTTAAAATATTAAATCAAAGAAATTAGTATCACAATAGGAATGCAGATAATTTGCAACTGGTAATATGTACATTAAAGGGTACTTTGTCACTAATGCTATTTTGTAATTGAATCGCTAGTCGCAAACACTGCCATTGAGGGTTTGGTTATAAATTATTTGTGTCTACCCTATAAGTTAGTTACTAGTGTTTTTGATAGGTGAGCAGTCGGTATAAGCTCATTGCAAAGATATAAGAAACCCAAACAATGTTTATAGAGGTATTCTTATAATCGACATTGATTGCAAAATATCATTTCAGGATAATTGATTGCAAAATATCATTTCAGTTTATCCTTGGATAATGATATTAATCTTAAACTTGAAGCATGGAAACTAATAACTACTTATATCAATTGCAAGCATGAAGCATGCAAATCAATAGGATCTTGTTTCAATCACTAGAAATATTCAAGCTTTGAAAATTTGTGTTGGCCCTTCTTGAAGTGTTTGTTTTTTGATCGAAATTTCAGAAGATAGATTGTATTGTAGGTATTTCGGTCTCATTTTGTGGGGATTTATGTTTTGATTTGAAATTTCTTATAAGTGTAAACCTCTATAGTTAATTATTTATCTTGCTGATGAGAATCGATTAAGACTAGTTGCCATATTTTAAATATTTTGTTTATAGTTGCAATAATTTTGGTTTTAGATTGAAGAAATTTATCGCATTTATCTTAAAACGAATAATTATGGGAATTATGACGAACTTGGTCAAGATCTCATACTTCTGTGATTTAGGGTTGTGAGGGGCGCTAGTTGACTTAGTTAGCAAAGTTAGCTAACTTAATTTGATCAAAATATTCTTGTTAGTAGGCATGGGTTACATTGTTCAAGTGAATATTATAGGACTTAGGTGGATTTTTTGCTTAAGGGTATAATTCTAAGTTGATTTAAGCTAATAGTGGGGTTTGTGTGCTATGAAGTGTCTCACGATTTATAACTCAAAAGGTTGAGTCATTGGGGAACATCTAAGCTTTGGCCTTGATTGTAATTTAATGGTGTCATTTCACGGTGAACTTCCTGGTTAGACGACCTTGATCATAATTGTTATTTAGTGGTGCTATGTTGCAGCAAAAATCACTTGGTTAGAGGGCACATACCAAATTTTTACCAGCATGAGGTTTTTTCAGAGTGTTTATAATGATACACTATTGACTATAAAAAAAATAGAACAAAAGAATTTTCAAAGCAATTAAACTACCTCTAAGCGACCCCACTTGAAAGGTTGGTTGCCAAGAGTTACATTCCTTCGCTAGAATAACTCCCATTCGGTAGTTTTGCTCGTTAAAAGAAAAGAAAATGGACAAAGGAGGCACTTACGTTCATTCCACGACACTTGTTTTTTATTTCTTGTGTGAACTTCGCTCGACGCCCCAACCCCTTTCGACTCTGTCATCACCGTTCGGCTTCGTCACTTCACAGGAGGCGGAGAGACTGTACGAGTCACTTCTTCGACTCGTTCGTTGTTGTCCGACTTCGATCCCTTCACAGGAGGAGGAGAAACCGCACACAAGTCGCTTCTTCAGCTCCTTGTGGCTGTCAGACTTCGACTCCCTGTGGCCGTCCGACTTCGTTCCTTCGCTTAAGCCAGAGATTGCGCAAGTCGCTTCTTCGACTCCATCGGGCTGTTCGACTTCGGCTCCCTCTATGGTTGTCTGACTCTGTTTCCCGAGAGGAGTAGAGATTGCACGGGCCGCTCCTTTGCTGCAAACTTTGCTCTTTCAACTTTTGCCCCCCAATTCTTATTGTTATTTGGATTCCTTGCTTTGCGAGGGGTACAGAGATTGGACGATTCTTTTGTCACTATTCAATTAAGCTCCTTCAACGACTAACCTAGCCGAACTGGATCGTCCCCGAGCCGACTCCGTTTTTTTATGTACATTATAAGATATAATATTATATAAAATATATATATATATATATATTATAGTCGATCTTAGATCCCGGTGAGATGATTTAAAATTGAAGACCCTACGCTGTCGACCTTAGGTCCGGTTAGGAAGAAATTACGGCGGTGCCGTCCTGATTTCTCCCTCGGTGGGGAGGAGATGCCGGGAGGCTGTCGAAATTTCTTAAAAAATTATAGAACCCGTCTTTTTGAAACAATTAGAGAGTAATTTGATTTGGATCTTAATTAATCAATCAATTAATGGATTAAAATTCATTGCTTAAAAGTAAATTGAATTTGAAATTCATTGACTAAAAAAAAAACAATACTTCAAAATTGAGGCCATTTAAAATAAGTGAGTTTCAAAATACGGGAGTTTTAAAGAAAATGCTAAATACGAGAATTTCAAATTATGAGAGTTTTAAAATTCGAGATTTATTTAAAAGTTTGAGAGGAGTGAATTTAAAAATTGATTTATTGGTTAGTTATTTAATTAATCAAATAATAATAATAATTATAATAACTTTCAACTCAATACAACTCTCAAATTAATACAACTCTCAGAACCCCCTACAAGTTCTTCGAAGTCCCTCTCGTATGAGCTCATGAAACTATTTTGTGGGCTCTATCCTCTACAATTGTAAATCTCAACCATTGAAATCACTGGCTACGAACACCTACAAACAAACAAATAAAGAGTCAGTGCATCATAAATAAATTGAATAAAGCTGAGAAATATAAGCTACGACATTTAGAATGAAGTACTGGAAAACAAGAATGAAGCTAAGTACGAAAAAAGCTAGTAGCGCAAAAATGCTAGAAAACAGGTAGAGCAGTGAACTACTGTAGTAAGAAAAAGACTACAAGCACAAAACAACTAAAACACTAACACAAGTGTCAAACCTCTCAAAACACTGATATCAAGTCAACAAACACAATCAAATTAAAAAATTATAGGCAGCCTGATTTATAAGAATTAGGTTATAAGACCCACTACCTGGCAACTTTCGTAGGAAAGTCGTAAACCCGACCTTAGAGGGAAGTTTTAGGTAAAAAATGACCCAACTCCTAACCCCCAATTAAAACCTCCGGCCACTTCTATTAGAAGTCGTAAGTCCGACCTCTGAGAGAAATGTTTAGGTGATAATACAACCCTAAACCCCTCATTTAAGCAACCTAGTCTATAGGGCTTGGTTGTAAGACCCACATCTCGGGCCATTTAGTTTAAGGTTCTAAGTCGTAAGACCCATCGTTAGGTAAACTTCTAACGAAGTACTAAGACGGTAAGACCTACCTAACTAAAAATTCTTCGGGCAACTCCTAATTGGAGCCGTAAGCCCCAAACTAAATAAATAAACAGGCAACTTCTAAGGAAGTCATAAGCCCTAACCAAATTAAATCAAACTAAAATTCATACATATGAGCATCATAGTCTATAGGATTAGGTTGTAAGACTCACTAACGGGCTACTTTCTTCCAAAGCCGTAAGTCCCAATTTAAATTAAATACTTGAGTTATTTTCTACGAAAGTCATAAATCCCATTCAAAATTTAAATATCCGGGCTACTTTCTACGAAAACCGTAAGACTCACGTTTAGGAGAATTGTTAAATGAATTGCAATGACCTTAAAATCAAAATCAAATTTGAAATCTCCTGGCAGCCTTGCTATAGAGTTAGGTTGAAAGACCCATCCTTGGGCAACTCATAAATAGAGCAGTAAGTCTCATTCCAAATAAAAAAATATTGGGCTACTTTCTACGAGAGCCATAAGTCCCAAACCAAATCTAAATACTTGGGCTACTTCCTAAAGAAGCCATAAGACCCGCTTCAGATCAAATTCTTGGGTTACTTGTAAATGAAGTTATAAATCTCAAACTAAATAAATCTCTGGGTATTCTAATAGTTCGGAACCATTTCTGAAGTGATGCAGTTCCAACGGTTTCTTCCTGAGAATACTGTTAGCGTACCTATTGCTAAAGGTGTCGCTAAGAACCGTACTACTAAAGCTGTTGATGAGAAGGCTCTCAAGAGGGCCTCTATATTTTCAAGACTCTCTGTGACACCTATTGCTGCTCCAATG